AACAGTGAAGAAACGATTAGTTTTATCCCTTTCAGAGCGTCTAGAACAACCAAATACACAACAAAACCTGCCCATGTTTCTCCGATGCTGCTGAAGTCAATGACATAGTGTGCCTGGTGTCATGGTGGCGTAGGTACCGTTGTTATAGGGTCACGTGACGGTGCAAAGCCTCTGTTGCACTGCCTCTGGTCGAGGCTCTTGTTCCCCGACCACTAGTGCCGGACTTGGGCTTAATGAACTCACCCAGAGCTGGTGGAGCGACTCCATTTAAGACTTCGTAGACTGAGCAGGCGAGTTTAAATTTTTGAAAATTTCCAAAACTTAAGATATTATACTTCTGCAGTATGAGACAGTGATGAAATGATAAAGATGTCCTATTAAATATCTTTAACGCTTTTTTAAAAAGTGATTCTATTATTTTTAAGGTTGTCATGTCAGTGACCAGTTAGTGATGCTGTGTTCAATATGAGAGAGAATCATGCTGTGGAGAAACATTTTAGCTGCATTTTCTGGCCCAATGAGTTTCATTTGGTCTTCCGATATTTTATGTTATTAGGTTCTTTTTCTCAGACCTAGAGTGTTACTTCATACCTGACAGTTTCGACTGCTCACTAGCGTCTTCCTCAGAGTCACGTGATGTTGCTGTGACGTGTCTGGTCAGCTGATTTAAACAGGTTTTGGCGCTGTCTTCCCACCGGTGGAGGTGAGGAAGAAGCTAGTGAGCAGGTATGAAATAACACTCTAGGTCTGAAAAAAAGAACTTAATAACAATTAGGCAATGATGCTCTAATTTGCCTAAAATTGTGATTATTAAAATCAGCAATTTTTGATATGTTTTTAACATGTTTTTTAAAAGTTAAAGTGGAGTCCAAGGTAACACCAACATACTTAAATTCATCTACAAACGAGTCCCTCACCCCTCAGCTACACATTTAAACAAGACTTTGATGGACGTTTCGAAAAAAGCATGCAAACAGTTTTTTTAGTATTCAGTAAGAGACTTGTCAGCCACTTGTCTAAACATGTGATTCTCGCTGATGTTAACTTTTCTGAGGCTTCTATGACAGATTTTGCTTTTGTAAAAATGACGGTATCATCGGCATACAACACAATGTTAAGGTCCGTACAAACATTCGGCAGATCATTAATGTATAATGAAAATAAAATAGGTCCAAGTATGGAGCCTTGTGGTTCTCCAACCTTGCAATCGACATATGGGGTTTAAAACCACCTGTAAATGAATAAATGTACCTTAAAGCCGTTTAATGTCACACTGTGGAACATTCCAGGCAGAGCAATGACATCTCCATGGTAACGGATCAACCATAAAGTTCCATAGTGCCCTTTAAAATGCAAATATGACACGAGAAGACTAAGACAGAAGATTAAAAATATAAAAATAGACCCTAATAAAAGCATGATTTTTTTTCATTATGTTTGTTTGTTGTGAGCGGGCTCGCATCTCCACAGACCTGACTTATTTGGAACCCGTGTGTCACTCGTTCAGTGGTTTTTCAATATAAAACCAAAAATAAGAACATGGAAAAAAGATCTGTTTTCTTCATTATTTGTCTCCAAAACCAAAATGAAAAAACAGATAAAGATTTGTTTTTTTCAGTTTTTGATTTTGCGTTTAAATGAAAAATGGAAAAAACTGATAACGGACTGAACCAGGACTGAACCAGGACTGAACCAGGACTGAACCAGGTCCGGGACCTCACCGGGACCAGACCGGGACCAGACCGCTACTGAGACTGGGACCAGAGTGGGAGCAGAGCGGATGCTCAGAGTCCACGGCAGGGCTAGAGCTCGGAGTCAAAGCTCGGAGTCAAAGCTCGGAGTCAAAGCTCGGAGTCAAAGCTCGGAGTCAAAGCTCGGAGTCAAAGCTCGGAGTCAAAGCTCGGAGTCAAAGCTCGGAGTCAAAGCTCGGAGTCAAAGCTCGGAGTCAAAGCTCGGAGTCAAAGCTCGGAGTCAAAGCTCGGAGTCAAAGCTCGGAGTCAAAGGCTCGGAGTCAAAGCTCGGAGTCAAAGCTCGGAGTCAAGCTCGGAGTCAAAGCTCGGAGTCAAAGCTCAGAGTCAAAGCTCAGAGTCAAGCTCAGAGTCAAAGCTCAGAGTCAAAGCTCAGAGTCAAAGCTCAGAGTCAAAGCTCAGAGTCAAAGCTCAGAGTCAAAGCTCAGAGTCAAAGCTCAGAGTCAAAGCTCAGAGTCAAAGCTCAGAGTCAAAGCTCAGAGTCCCCCCGGGTCCCGGTCTGGTCCCGGTCTGGTCTCGGACCTGAATCAGTCCTGGTTCAGTCCGTATGCGGTGCAAAAGTCCGGTATCACAGTCACGGGAGGTAAACGGGAAACGGCTGTTATCCGTTTTTTCCATTTTTCATTTAAACACAAAAGTGAAACCTGAAAACACGAATCATTATCTGTTTTTTCATTTTGGTTTTGGAGACAAATAATGAAGAATATAGTTGTTTTTTTGTAAATAATGTTATTATTTTATATTCTGCTTGTTCTGGATTCAATGTTTAAGCAAAACTATTATTAAACATTTATTTTAATAAGAAAAGGTTTAACATTACAGATCTTGACAGAAGAGAAAACATGCAGATGTTGTTGAAATGTTTCAATAAATATTTAGTTTGGCCCTCGACTTAGTCCCAGTTTTTAATTTGGGCCTCTGTGAATTTGAGTTTGACACTCTGACATAAACAGAGAGATTCTGTTTGAGAATTCACTACGTCCTGTATTTTTGTAATTTTATCCAACTTTTTTTTCACTCAAACCACCACTTAACTGATAAACTGTGATAAATATAATATATAGATGACAGGTTCTATCCACCAAACCTTTTCGAGTGTCAGAGGTTATAAATATAAAACACACAAACACAGTACGTCTTCTTTTAAGTTGTTGTTATTGTTTATGTGGTTCTCCTCTGACCTCCTCTCTCCTCTCTCCTCTCTCCTCTCTCCTCAGATCCAGCCGTACGAGCGGATCCGGGACAAAGGTCTCCCCGGGGACATCGCCGCCGCCCTGAACCGGCTCGTGGTGGTGAAGCTGAACGGAGGTCTGGGCACGAGTATGGGCTGCAAGGGCCCCAAGAGTCTGATCAGTGTCCGCAGTGAAAACACCTTTCTGGACCTGACTGTGCAGCAGATAGAGGTGAGGACTGGTCTAGACCTGGTTTAGACCTGGTTTAGTCCTGGTTTAGTCCTGGTTTAGTCCTGGTTTAGTCCTGGTTTAGTCCTGGTTTAGTCCTGGTTTAGTCCTGGTTTAGTCCTGGTTTAGTCCTGGTTTAGTCCTGGTTTAGTCCTGGTTTAGTCCTGGTTTAGTCCTGGTTTAGTCCTGGTTTAGTCCTAGTCCTGGTTTAGTCCTGGTTTAGTCCTGGTTTAGTCCTGGTTTAGTCCTGGTTTAGTCCTGGTTTAGTCCTGGTTTAGTCCTGGTTTAGTCCTGGTTTAGTCAGACCTGGTTTAGTCCTGTTTTAGTCCTGGTTTAGTTTTGTCAGTGGTTTAGTCCTGGTTTAGACCTGGTTTAGTCCTGGTTTAGTCCTGGTTTAGTTAGACCTGGTTTAGTCCTGGTTTAGTCCTGGTTTAGTCCTGGTTCCTGGTTTAGGCCTGGTTTAGGCCTGGTTTAGGCCTGGTTTAGGCCTGGTTCAGTCCTGGATCAGACCAGGTTTAGACCAGGTTCAGACTGGGTTCAGACCAGATTGAGTCCTGCTTAAGACCTGCTTTAGTCCTGGTTCAGTCCTGGTTCAGTCCTGCTTTAGTCCTGGTTCAGTCCTGCTTTAGTCCTGGTTCAGTCCTGGTTTAGTCCTGGTTCAGATCCTGTATAATCACATGTATTTTCTTCCTTTTTTTTCAGCACTTGAATAAGACGTATAACGCGGACGTGCCTCTGGTCCTCATGAACTCCTTCAACACCGACGAAGACACAAAGAAGATCCTCCAGAAATACTCGCACCACCGCGTCAAGATCCACACCTTCAACCAGAGCCGGTCAGTCTGAGTCTGTGTCCACACGACGACGCTCCTGGAGGGTTTTTTTGTGCTTTTGCAGGTTGAAGAAAAATCACATCCACACTAGGGACGGGCATTCGATGAAGTTTTCTTAATCGATCGTCGGAGGAATTAACGATCGTTTATCAATTAATCATTCACGTTTTTATATTAAAATGATCATCATTATTATTACTATCTGCATTACTAATCTGCATAAATAAATTCAACTTTACGACATATAAACCATAACGACTCTAGAGCCACATCAGCTGTTTGACATTATAATGTGTTTAATTCAGTTTTGTTCAAATCTCACAGAAACAAAACTTAAAACCACATCACTAATTTGCATAAACTAAGTGAAGATAAAACTCCAGCTCTTGTGTCGCTGATGTGGTTCAACTTCTGTTGGATTAAAAGACATGACTCAGGTGAATACAGGTTAGTGCACAGGTGTCAAACATATGGCCCAGGGGCCAGATCCAGCCCTTTAGACCTTTAATCTGGCCCTTGGCTGATTTTCTTCTAAAATATTTTAATTCTATTTTCTATTAAAATCGTGTTAATTTTCTGTGGTGTTTATCACAGCAGCGTCTCCAGCGTCTCTGTACGTGGCCCCTCCCACCAGAGCAGCACAAATGAAGACTTGTCTCTTTCCAAACGCTCTTAAAGGACGATCGTTTTGACTGTTGACCGTGACACCCTCATCAGAAAAATGTCCAACATGAGAAAAGTGGAGCCGAGTGCAGGATTTTACAACAAAAATGGACTTATTCCTATTTACAAACAAGTTCATGTTAAAACTTTGTGTTGAAATTGCTTTTTTTTTTTTTTTAAGTTTCAGGTTGTTCATAATATTATAATATTTTGCAAAAGAAAGAGTTCATCAATAAAAACAGATTTCTGTAATAGATTTGTGTTTCTCTGCACAAATATTTGAACTTATTGTTATTTTTGGGGTTTATATGACATGAGTTTTTTGATCCGGACACTTTGGGATCAAAGTCGGTTGGACACGACCCCCGGAACAAAATGAGTTTGACACTCCTGGGTTAGTTTGACCAGATTTGTGTTTGTCAAAACCAGGACAGCGTACGGGGGGAGGGGGGCGGGGCCTCGTCATCCACATTGAGCGACTCTCACCTGGAAAAACTTTTTCCCACTGGACACAGAAACATATGTGCTGCTTTATCCACTGTGCACATGGACTCACACTTGTCCCAACGCAACGGAAAGTGTGGAATTTCTTCTACAAATCCTGGTTAAATCCACATTTGTGCTTCGGTTCGTTACAGACTGACCCACTGTTTGTGTGTCGCTCCTTCTGATGCAGAGACACATGTACACACCTGTTTGGTCACGACACACAAACATACATTCAGTTTGTCAATTAAAATGAACGTAATCGATGAAATTCTTAATGATCAATTATCGATTAATCGATTAATCATGCCCATCCCTAATCCACACACGTGTCGGATCAATAAATATTCACGGCCAAACGACAACGGAGCACTGAGTGAAAACGATGTAATACGCCTGCCACACCTGTATGTGGCGCTGTAACAATGATAATCATATTTTATAATGCTGATCTCGTCACAGTTTTTTTTTTTTACTTTAAGGTAATTAGGCCTATTTTAGCTGTATCCTAGTTTTGCAAAAGTTAAACATAAGTTTTAGTTTTTTTTTGTTTTTAGTTTAATTACCTGTCGTTGCTGGGCGACAGGAGCGGCTCCTTGGGCTACACCTGTCACATTTCAGCAGCAGTCTTGTGGTCTGTGGAGGCTGGTTTGAGGGCTGCAGCCTTCACTGCATCAGAGGACCTGTACTCAAAAAACAGTTTTCACCCAAACAAAACACCGGCTCCGTGTGGACGAAAGGCCAAAACGAATACGACGTTTTGACCAAAAGGCGTTGTCACGTGGACAGGCCCTGAGTCCGAGTCGACTTTATTCTCCTGAATTCAAGACGTCATTTAATGCTGTTTGTTTGTGGGCGCGGGGTTTGCGTGCATGGGGTTTGCGGGCATGGCGTTTGTGGGCATGACTTTGGCGGGTGCACCATTGCCGGTTGTGGCGTTTGCGGGCGCGGTGTTTGCGGGCATGGCGTTTGTGTGCGCGGTGTTTGCGGGCATGGCGTTTGTGCGCGCGGTGTTTGCGGGCATGGCGTTTGCGGGCATGGCGTTTGCGGGCATGGCGTTTGCGGGCATGGCGTATGCGGGTGCGGTGTTTGCGGGTGCGGTGTTTGCGGCATGGTGTATGTGGGCATGACGTTGGCGGGTGCACCATTGGAGGTTGTGGCGTTTCAGGGCGTGGTGTTTGGGGGCGCGATGTATGTGGCCGCGGGCGCAGTGTTTGCGGGCGCAGTGTTTGCGGGCGCAGTGTTTGCGGGCGCAGTGTTTGCGGGCGCAGTGTTTGCGGGCGCAGTGTTTGCGGGCGCAGTGTTTGCGGGCGCAGTGTTTGCGGGCGCAGTGTTTGCGGGCACAGCGTGCACTGGGTGAGGGCCGTTCAACGTCGCTTGCAGCTTTAATTTAATTTTGGTTTTGGAGACAAATAATGAAGACAATAGTTGTTTTGTTTAGTTTTCTTATTTTTGGTTTTATATTGAAAAACAAATGACACGTGGATTGTTCTTATATCTTGTTCTATACTTCGTGTCTTCTTCTTCTGCGCAGATATCCACGCATCAACAAAGAGTCCCTGCTGCCGATCGCCAAGAGCATGGGCCCTGACGGGGACAGCGAGGCCTGGTATCCTCCGGGTCACGGGGACATCTACGCCAGCTTCTCAAACTCCGGTCTCCTGGACAAACTCCTGGCCGAGGGGAAGGAGTACATCTTCGTCTCCAACATCGATAACCTGGGAGCCACCGTGGACCTGTTCATCCTGCAGCACCTGATGAGCCAGCCCCAGGACAAACGCTGTGAGTTCATCATGGAGGTCACGGACAAAACCAGAGCTGATGTCAAGGTACTTAAAGCTCCTCAAGGGCCCAGATTACAAATGAGAAACGCTGTGAAAGGTCTTTTGTGTGTGGAGATGTGGAATGGATGAATAATGCACCGAACTGTAAAGGGATGTTGAGCGTCTGGAAAAGCGCTACATGAAACTAATCCATTATTATTATTATTATTCATATTTTGGAAACACTACCTTGATGAATACTGCTAATTTAATACCAGACGTCTCTATTTACCCGGGACAGTCCCAGTTTTCAGCCGTGTCTCCCCTGTCCCAGCAGATTTATACAAAACTACTGATTTGTCCCAGTTTTATACAAGAAATGTCCCACGTGTCCCCATTTTTGTCCAATTTGATCCCTGACAACAATAAAACGAGACATAAATTGGCAAATATTTAGGTAAAATTCAGAAAAGCTGCTTAAAAACGACCAAAACACAAAGAAAAATGTGACTATACTGACTCATGTTAGTAGAGTTGGGCGGTATCCAAGTTTTGATACCGTTAACCTGTTACCACCCGCCTCATTTTGGTGTGTGCACAATGTTAA